TGAGCGAGTAGTAGCCCTAAAATAAATAATTATATATCAAAAAATAGTCTCGAATAGCTAATTGGTGTAATTTAGAAGTTGAGGGTTAAAAGTGGAAGTTCCGGACTCGGTTATAATTATTAATGAAAACATGGGGCTCCGTGGTAATTATTTGGATATAATTTGGAAGAAAAGAGAAGAGGAGACTGATTATGTCATAACTGAAAGATGGGGGTTAAAAAGGTAAATTTTTGATTAGTTTTGTGAAGATTCTAGAAGATGGGGGCTGTTTTAGTAAAATCTGGATTTAAATTGTAAAGTATTTACATGGATGAGATTTGAATGGTAAATTAGGGCCTAATTATGAAATGATCTTGTAGGGAGGGGTCAGACTTGTAAATATGTCAAAGATTTAGAATGGTCGGGGTTTAAAACCCGCCACCCTTACCATACAAACCCTAAACCTATCATCTTTCAGCCGCCTCCATTCATCCTCTTCATCTTCAACCTCCGGTAGCCATCCCAAAGCAGTAGATTACAGATGAAGTAGATGTGATTGTGTTGCGAGGAATTCGTTTACCTTCGGGTTATAGGGCTTTACAAAGAATGGTCACTGCTACTCGAGGAAGCCTAGGGTGTGCTCGGGATGGTGACCGTGTTACTAGAGTGTTTGGGCGTGTAAGGAATGGTAAAGAATGATTTCGAGGATGAAATCTAATTTAAGTGGGGGAGAGTTGTAACACCCGTTTATTTTTAATAAATAAACAAATAAATTGATGAGCGAGTAGTAGCCCTAAAATAAATAATTATATATCAAAAAATAGTCTCGAATAGCTAATTGGTGTAATTTAGAAGTTGAGGGTTAAAAGTGGAAGTTCCGGACTCGGTTATAATTATTAATGAAAACATGGGGCTCCGTGGTAATTATTTGGATATAATTTGGAAGAAAAGAGAAGAGGAGACTGATTATGTCATAACTGAAAGATGGGGGTTAAAAAGGTAAATTTTTGATTAGTTTTGTGAAGATTCTAGAAGATGGGGGCTGTTTTAGTAAAATCTGGATTTAAATTGTAAAGTATTTACATGGATGAGATTTGAATGGTAAATTAGGGCCTAATTATGAAATGATCTTGTAGGGAGGGGTCAGACTTGTAAATATGTCAAAGATTTAGAATGGTCGGGGTTTAAAACCCGCCACCCTTACCATACAAACCCTAAACCTATCATCTTTCAGCCGCCTCCATTCATCCTCTTCATCTTCAACCTCCGGTAGCCATCCCTTTCCCCCCCACCTGGTCCGTTCTCCAACAAGCTAGCGGCCACCAAGCATTTACTCTACCTCTTACTTTGCCGACCGATCGAGACTCCATCTCGCTATCGCCATCATCGAGCCTCTTTTTCATAAGAAACATTGAAGACCGACGAGGGTTGAGGGCAACCTCCAAGCGCTGTTACGTCGTTGACCGCCGTTAGCAACCAAGCCACTGAAACTTTGCCGCCTTGTTGTTGTCGCTGTTGTCACTCCGACGAGAAGAGGCTGAGATCGGAGCTAGGTGTTGTGGAGGGTCTTTCTCTTTCCCTCGTGCGTGAAGCCACCTGCAACCAGCTAGCCCGCTGCTCCCATGTACCGGTCGATCTGCAACGCCCTTCTCAGCCTCCTTCAGTCGCTGTTGCCTCATCATGTGCGCCCTGCCGCCACCGCCACCCCAAGACCACCGCTGTGACCGCCAAGTGCCACCAGATGGTGGATGCAGTACTAATCCAAGCATAGGATCTGAGTGTGGTCCATTTCAGTGTTGTATGTTGGGTTTGTGTGTTTGGAAAACCTTAGAAACCACCACCACCACCGTGAGGTGGTGGCTACCACCATGTGCCGCTGTGTATGTGTATTTTAGTGCATGTGTTAGTGTGTCAATTTGGTATTTTGCATTGTAAATTGTAAATACGGAAATAATGGAAAGAAATTGAAAACCACCACCTTAAGGTGGTGGCTGCCGCTTCCTGCCGCCACTCGCCGCCGTGTCGGGTGGCGGTGTGCTCGCTTTGTGAGTTTGATTCGTTTAGGGTGCTTGTAAACCCTAATGGGCCTTGTAAGCTCTAATGGACCTAATAAAACCCTAATGGGCTCAAAGGAGCTCTAATGGGACCAATGAAGTTTAATGGACTCTAATTAACCCAATAAAACCCTAATGAGCTTATTAAGATTTTAGTGGGCTTAATAGGCCCAATAAAGCCCAAATTGACATAAAAGGCCAACAAATTGATAAGTGCGCTAATATTTGGATTGGAAAACCCTAATGCCAATGAAAACCCTAACTTTAAGAATTATGCGGGTCACACATGAGAATTATTTAATAACTTGGAATATTAAATAATAATCAATGGAAGAAATTAATCTAAGCAATAATGGACTTAATGGATTATGTCCTAAATGGGTTAAGTAGGAAACTTAACCCTAATCATCATTTTATGTGAAACCCTAATTTCACTTGAGTATATAATTGGGCCTTTATGTTGGGCCTAAATGATTGAGATAAAAATGGACCATCCAAGAGCAACCAATTGAACTAGAATAATTTAATGGGCCTAGGGTAAGGCCCATGTAAGGGGCTTGGGCCCAATTTAGAAAATTGGGCCATAGATGGGACATAGTTTGGGCTTAATGATTATATGGTGTTGGGCCTTGGAATGAGACCGTGTTTAGGCCTAGGCCCAATTTGGAAAATTGGGCCATGTGTTGGGCTTTGATTTCTAAGTGACTTGGGCCTATGGATTAGGCCTTGGGCTTAAATAAGCCAAGCCTGGGGTAATGTAGCAATTAACCAAGTATGTAATATGGTTATGTGTTGGGACCCAATTATTAATTGGGTGTTATTTTGGTGTTGATAGTTCGGGAATCTGTCAGCTAGCAGTTGGGGTCGAGTCTGCGGGACTTCAGTAGTGTGGGATTGTGTCTACGGGACTTCAGTAATGTGAGGTGAGTTACCTTCCAGTAGCGGTGGGTCTACGGCCACAATGCCGACCTACCAGTAGGAGTTGTATGTTAGATGATTGTCTTTGTGATATCATCTAGGTTTGCTACTACCTGATACGTTATATGCTGGCATGATATGTTATATGTGATAGTAGTAGAGTTCGGTTGTTAGGACCGAAGGGTAGGTCAGACACCCCAGATATGTCTGACAGTATGTGATGATATGTTATATGCTGACATGATATGTTATATGTGATAGTGGTAGTAGGAGGCGAATAGTCCCCAAGTTCGGTTGTTAGGACCAAAGGGTAGTTCGGACACCCCAGATATGTCTAATAGTATGTTTATGTTATGATATATGTGATAGTAGCAGTAGGGGGTGGAATAGTCCCCGAGGGTCGGTTGTTAGGACCGACGGGTAGGTCAGCACCCCAGAATGGCTTGACATGGGTAGGTCAGCGCCCCAGAATGGTTTGACACGGGTAGGTGAGCACCCCAGAATGGCTTGACACGGGTAGGTCGGTACCCCAGAATGGCCGTACCGGGTAGGTCGGGCACCCCAGAATTGCCCGGTAATATGTATGCTATGTGATTGTATGGTATGTGGTATGATGGGGGGAACTCACTAAGCTTTGTGCTTACGGTTTTCAGTTTTGGTTTCAGGTACTTTTTTTTCAAATAAAATGAGCCGGCTCGATCGCATAGCATCACACTATGTTTTCCGCACATGAGATCCTTGGGGATTACGCTCTGATATGGTTTTATGATACTATGTTTTTGATTACTGACACTTAGGTCTTAACATGGGACTTTATTATGAATGTTTTTATACTGATGGTTTTATGTAATAACATAAGATAAAAATGAAATTTTTGACGCTCTGATATGGTTTTATGATACTATGTTTTTGATTACTGACACTTAGGTCTTAACATGGGACTTTATTATGAATGTTTTTATACTGATGGTTTTATGTAATAACATAAATAAAAATGAAATTTTTGACTTGTATTTTTGGGATGTTACATATATAATATAAAAAGCTCAGTATAACTCTTATATATATATATATATATATATATATATATATATATATATATATATATATATATATATATATATATATATATATATAATAGAGAGGAAGATTGTGGATAGTGGTATAAATTTATTATACTAAATACATCACATGTTGAGTCTCTTGTGATATTGAGTAACAGGAAAATTAAAGTCACGTAATGAATATCTTGTGATGATTGTAATCGTAGCTAAAATCGATGTAAATTGATTTTTGAGATTTGTTAACTAAAATGATGGCTTGAGTATCAATAAAACTATTATCATTATAAATGAGATTTTAGTATCATAGAGTTGTTGCCTATAATTGTGTGAACGTTATGTGTTAACGACGTTGAGAGACTAATTTTACTAAAAGTTTGATTTAGTAAGTTTCATGATTTTGTTAATAAATTTCGATATCTTTAAAACTAGCATCAGTGAGAATATCTTGCAGAAATCTAAAATTGTTTAGGTTACACTTGAATCCTGCTATGTTTCATTATTGGTATTCATTTTGGATCAAATTTTTAGTAATTTTTGAATTTGGCCAAAAGTATAAATTTTGAAAGTGTGATATTCAAATGTTGACCGGTTAAAAAGGTTAAAATGGATACGATTACAGATTTTTATGATTTAATTAAATAAAAAGTATATATAAAGACTAGATCGATTACGAATCCAAAATATAAAGAATTTTATTGAATTTTCCAATAAACAAAAGTTACATAAATGTGAGGTGTTTGTTGCAATTCTTGTTTACTAATGTTTAACAAAAACTAACACCAAGAGATAAAATAATTTTCTAAGTTATCAAGAACAATTGACACCTAACGCAAAAGCTACAAGAGGAATGTAGAAGAAGCCGGCTAGGAGAGAAGTGAAAAAAACTGGTTGCCAAGACCGGTGGTGGTCGATTTTTCAAGGGCCACGGGTTGTGGTACCTGCCACCAATAGCCTTAAAATGAATCCATCCCCAATAATAACATACTTAATCGTGTCTTCCTGATTTTGTAAGGCCTGAAGCTCGTTCTTCAACATTAGTAGATGTCTGTTCTAGCTTATCATGCATATGCAAATTTACCTCAGCATAAAATTCAACACATTGTGTTTGCCTCTTGGACAGTTCGTGTTGACTCCAACACATTGTGTTTGCCTCTTGGACACGCTGTGCTTTGCCTGCATCCAAATAGTATGGAAAATCCCAACCAGCATGTTGTGTTGACTTAGAAACATGTTGTGTTTGCCGAAGTTCCAACAACTTAATACATTAAGTTGTTTTCTTTGATTCCAAGAGCTCCAAACCTCAAATCTAGTCCGAAATGTGATCCAGAAGGATAATGATTCCAACTTTATCCGTTGGTACTACACAAAAAGGTCCAAAACCCAATCCATAAAGCTTAATAATGTAGGAGCTTAACCAATAAGTACTTAATCCTTAAAGTCTGAAGCCCCTCCTTTCCAGAAGTGATTCTAACACTAAAATCATCCCAAAGGTTGGTGTTTTATAGACATACATGTCCAATCCATGCCTTGTACCATCCAGATCCAATACATTACTAGATCACCTTGTCTTGGAGATTCATAAAGTTGCAAACTTTATGAGGTCTAACCATCCCAACAACCAAGAACAAGAAGCTAAAGGGACAAAACTCAAGATCTGACAACTTGGAATGATAAAAATCGAGTATTGGACACTTATAAAGGTCTAGAAGAGTGTCAAGGTGAAGAATGGGACTTGGTTGCTTGATCTTTGCTTCCTTCCTCCTCTTCCTTCTTCCTTCTTTAGCTTGAAAGAGTACCAAACTAGCTAAAACAATAAAGGAAGGTGATTAATGTTTCTTTCAAGGCTTAAGGGGGCTGAGGATGAACAAACCCTAGCCTTTTTATTATTTAATTATGGAGCAAAAACCCAAAAGATTAGGGTTTCATTCCTGCCATTAACATGCTATATTCCAATAGGCAATACATCGTGTTGTCATTAATGAAATTTGTGTTTCTTCTTATCTGGAATGTTGGAGACTCCACATGTCGTGCCCAATTCTCAAAAGGTGATTCATTTCTAAAATTGCTCCTCAAAATTTAGGGCGTTACAGAAAAGAATAGACGTATGAGAGAAAGATAAGTAAATCGTAGGTCATATTTAAAAAAAAATTATAAAAATTAATAAAATCATTAAAAGCAGATTGTAAGTGCAATATTGTCTTTTTATTTCTTTTAGGGACAACAACACAATAAAATAAAATATTAAAGATTGTTGGAATGCAAAAAAAATTTAGGAATCAAACGTTAAATTTTAATAAACCATTGAGACGGTTTCACTAATTTGTTCTAATGATTTAAAACATGCATCAATTTAATTCCTTGTCATCAACAGGTACCTGACTATATATTCTACAAAATTAGCATGGAGGTTATGAGATGTATGTCAATTATATGCAAGACGTGTACCAACTAGAGAATGGTGGGGGGCATTTCCACTATAGGGGATTTAAAATGAAGTGCTGTTAAGGCTCAAAAAGTTCTTGGGTGTGTGGTCCTTGCTAGGGATGTCAAAAACCTCCGTGGGACCCCGATCCCGTACGAGACTACATTTTTAAAAAAAGCCGGGAGCGGGAGCGGGATCGGGGGCAAAATTAAACCCCGTTTATTTTTGGGACCGGGGTCGGGAGTTGGTATTTCCGTCCCGTACTCCTGCGGGGGTCCCGGTTGTACATTTATCTAAAAAATATATATTTAATATAAAATACATATACAAAATAGATTTTCTAATTTTAGGTTTAGGTTAGGTTTTACTTTCCCGTTTCCAATTATTGGATATTGAAGAGGTAGTGAATTGATCATATAATTTTAGACATGTAAGTATTTTATATTTATAATATTGGATTTGTCGTATTTTATATTTATAAGATTGTTAGAATTATCATTTTGTAATGTTGGATTTGTAATGTTGGATTTTTAATTTTTTAGTTTCTAAAAGATTAGGTTTTAAGCTTTTAAATTTGTTAAAAATAGTCTTTTTTAACCTAAATCAAAGTAGTTGTTTAGCAAAAAAAATCGAATTTTATGTCTATAAACTGGGGGAACCGGGGCGGGACCGGGAGCGATGGAGGTAACCGGGGCTATGTAAGCGGGGGAGCCGGGGGCGGGACCGGGAGCGGGGGCACTAACTGATTTCGGGGATGGGAGTGGGGGCATCTATTTCTGCTCTCGTTTGGTTCCGTTGACATCCCTAATGCTTGCTCACCTTCATGGCACCCCACGGTGAACGCACACCAAATGATCCACATTAATAAAAACAAAATTACATACTAATAAGTAACCTATAAAAATGATAAAAGAAAATTTAATATGAATAAATAATCGTCACTAATACATAAAAGAAACCTCTATATAAAAGTTTTTATATTTTGACTTCATAATCAATTTAATATCAATTTAGTATGTATTTTTTTATTCAATTAGTTCCAAAACCGGTGTTTATATTCATTTTGATATTTTACAAGTCAACAAGTAATCCTATTTTTAAGATTTACTCATTTGGCCTAGTTTTTAATTTTATTAAAAATTTGCTTTTAAATTTACGCTTATGGCCAATATTTAAAATTTTGGTTAAAAATTCATCACAAATTTAGTGTTTTTATATCTTTTTTTTTTTTTTTTTTTTTTTTTCAAAACTTGGTTTTCGAATATGTTTTATTTCTTTATAAAACCATATTTATTGAAATATGTATTTATTAATTACATAAAAACATTTTGTATACTTTTATTTATATATATATATATATATATATATATATATATATATATATATATATATATATATATATATATATATATATATATATATATAGACACATTCACATAAACTCGTATTTTAGAAATAAAATGTATACAAACAAACTATTTGATAAAAAACACGTTCTTTGGATCTTTGATGGATCCAACCTTAACATACTTACTCCTGAACATGATTTCCCAATCATCTAACGCCTCCAGCTCAATCTTCCCTAAACCAGTGAGATCGCTGTTCAAATCTTCCTCTTCAAAGCTGAGTTTTGCAATGGCTCTACTGGCATCTTTCCCGCTCCACTCTCCATAAGTACCACCTGCTCCATAAAACATCCTGGATGATGATACATCATATATCTGACCTTTGATCGCCATAAGAACAGGCCTCCTAGGATCTGTACCATTGTATGTTTTCAACTCCTCTTCCGACATATCACCAGGGCGAATGATCAGGTCTTCTTTAACATTAGTAGATATCTGTTCCAGCTTATCATGCATATGCAAATTTACCTCAGCATAAAATGATGCTTTGAATATAAACGTCTTTTCCTTCTCGACCATATATTCCACCTATATATATTTGAGATATAGAATCAGGATATGCATATGTGTTTAGTTATTAAATAAAGTAAATATTCCTGTTAATATTTCTGAAAGATGTAGAGCTTACTTGGCATTTAAGGGCATGTTTAAGTTGTTTTACTATCTCAGCAACCCGTGGACGTTCATTACGTTCTCTTCGAAGACATTGATATGCAATTCTGGAGAATATTTCCAAACAATCTGGGTATATTTGCTCTTGTAGACAATCAAGTACAATTGTCTGCAGCTTCTTTTTTTCATAGCAGCTTTGTGCCAATTTTGACAAAAACCGGCGATTGTCATCATGCTTCGCTACACAAAGCCTTCCACACAAGATTTCAAATAAAACCACCCCAAAGGAATAGACATCAGATTCTTTTGTCAAGAATCCAGTATCCATGTAAAGTGGATCACAATACCCAATAGTCCCTACTGCATGGGAGATAAGAAATGTGAATTCTTGGTTAGCAGGTCCGAGTTTAGAAAGACCAAAATCTGAAATTTTGGCATTCCAACTTTTATCTAAGAGTACGTTGGAGCTTTTAATATCACGGTGTAGCACTCTTTGTGTAGTCTCACCTGGATTGTGAAGATACTCAAGCCCACGAGCTGCCCCAATGCATATGTTTAGGCGTTGGATCCATGAGAGATTAGAGCTACTAATATACATATCGAGACTTAGATTTGGTAGATACTCATACACAAGGATATTCTCATCACCCTCATCACAAAATCCCAAGAGAGTGACCAGATTTTCATGTCTGTAACGGGAAAGCATCATGATCTCTTTCCAAAACTCAGGGGTCCCTTGTCCAAATCTTGTATCTAAGCGCTTTGCTGCAACCATAACCTTCTCACCAAAGTGAACGAGTTCTCCTTTGTAAACCTTACCAAATCCACCTTTACTGATGTAGTTGCTGCTATCAAAGTTATTCGTTGCCAATTTTATAGCTTCTAGGGAAACTCTAAGGTGTGCAAACTTTTCAATGGACGACATTTTTTTTCTGACTTTGGTAGATATTGAAGGAAACGGAAATCAAATCTTAGATCCCGCAGATAAAATTCGAGAGTTTATAAGGCAACGAGCTATACAGTTTGATGAATGGATGCCCATCTCAAAAACGATATCTGAATTGAAGATTAAGGAGAAGAACGTTGCATTTATTTCGGTCATAAGGTGGTGTTTGATTTCATTCTGACTGGATCCGGTCAGAGCTCAGACCGTTTGTTACCATTGTTATACTCTTACTCGGTCAGTTGATGGGTAGTTAATGGCCTGGGTCCTGGAAGAAAATAACGCTGACTTGGTCCTTTGCATCAATTTCAGGTATTTGTCCTTCAACGAAACTTCAATCTAGCGTCTCCCAAAACGATTCTTCCCAGTGCCTTCCAAGATGATTTCATTAGGCAAAATGTAAAACGCCAAACCATTTAAGAAGGCTATCGTCTGATACTCCTAAGCCCTAACTCGTAAGTTTCAATTTCGACTATACTATCCATGCACTAGGGTTTCTGGGTTGATTTTCAATGTAATCATGTAATTTTGTAATTGGGTTATCTATAGTTTTTGGGTTTGAATGTTTGATCTTATACAGAAATTACAGTATATTTATTAAAACATAAAGTAAAGGTAAGGAAAATCGAAACTTGGGATTTGTGATTTGTGATTTGGGAAGTCTTTGATTGATGTCTCTTTCACAACCAGAACTTCACTCTTGAAAGATTCAAGTGCTTTCATGTTCAATAACCGTATCATTGAAGCGATTGGAGAAGAAGCTAGAAAGTAAATATTGTTAATAGATGTTACTGATGTAGGGAAGAAAGGGCTAGAAAGTAAATATTGTTAATAGAAAACGTTCACTCCTGGATGTCAAAATCGAGTTTTACAAACTATTTGCATCCTTCCAGGTGAGGATTGTTACTTCCGTTTTTCTTATTTAATGTGTATTTAGGTTGATTTTAATGAGTTCCTTCCAGCAGGAAATGCTTTTATGAATCTGTACATAATCCTCTCTTTATATTTGACTTTATTTCTGCATGGATATGATGAAGCAATGCGCTTTTTAACAGAAACAAAAGTCTTGGAAACCCCCATTGCTAACCATGGATAGAAAGAGAGGATTCTTTGACCTTTGATTAAACGCGTCCATGAAAACTATTTCGTGCTTGCTGTTTTATGCTTCTCAAGAAACACAGACACAGACGTATCTGAATCATCGACTTCTACTAACGAGATGTTGCTTGGTTTGTCTATTGTGACTACCATAGAACTTGTTGCCATTTTCTTGAAGCTAAATCCACAAATCCCATATGGATTTGCAGAGGTACAAAGATTTAGTCATTATAGAAGCTTATCTAATGAAAGAAAAGAATAGTTGACATCTGGATCTTGAAAGCTTAAAAAACAAATGTATAGTAAGATGGAAGGATGTAGAAGTTGACTAGTCACGATACAAAATCTTAAAGACGGTTAGGTGTGGACAACTCCCATGGAGGCTTTTTTGTGCGTTATGAAGGCACAAAGACCGCTCCCCTTCACCGTTGTGTATTATAAGCTTAACCGTTGCTTCCCGTTACCACCACAACAACCTGTAACGCCCGTTTTCTTCTTTTTTTCTTCTAAAAACATCGGTGGGCGTTGCCCACACCGACCAGCCAAAGAGAAAGAAAAGAGTGATTGTACTTTCAAAAGAAACTTAGTTTTGTCGGGGGTTTATTTGACGTATTATAAATTTAATTTTTTTTTTATTAAAAGTACAATGCTATTCATTGGTATTGTATAAGCATGTCATTATTGATGGTAAAAATAGTTAATACTTGATGAAAACAAATTTTGCTACGTAAAGGTAATATGGTTATTTTGTTTCATTTAACATAGTCAGTCAAAGATATAATTAAACAACATGGTTTCAGTTGCTAGTAGTTATCATCCGCATTTATTTATTTATTTTGAATATTGAAATATGTATTAGAATTATTCAAATAATGCCCAACTAGAGGCGGATGCACATTGAAAAGAAAATGTTGAAAAAAATTCATTTAGGACAATTTTGTATATTACCTAGCGAGAAGAGATTTCTTTTAAAGGAATTAAAGAAAATGAGATGTAGGCATTAGATAGCCATAGCAAAAGAATGAAAAACAAAAGACATTAAATACATTTAGGGCCGGTCTAAGAAAAGTTCAAAGTGTGCCTATTAGTAGGGCTTACTAAAATCTAGGACCTAAAGTTTCTTATCCTTCCTGTTAAACTGTTTCTAGGACCTAAAGTTTCTTATCCTTCCTGCTAAACTTGTTTCCAGGAGGTGATTAGGAAAATAGTGAATGGAAGCACTTATGTTGGACTTAGAGCAATGTCAA